ATATTCATTTGAAATGACAACTTTTGTGTTACATGGAGAAAGAGCCTTAATTACCCATCTGTCAGCTCACAGGAGTTGATCTCCTGGATACCTCTAGCTCCAGCCCACCCTCCCCAGGGACATTGCAAAGGAAAGGCAGCAGTGAAGACAAAACATTCTCTCCTCATCTTTACTCATTTTTTTCCTGGCTGAAAAAAAATCTTTCATACCTCAGCCATTTCCATTGGACCAAGCCTACATATGTTGAAGAACACTTTATAATATACTTTAAAATGTGTATTCCATGTAAAGATCAATTACAGTTTTTGTTGTTTGTGTTATGTTTTTAAATTAAAAATGTGGGTGTTATCTGGATACCTTGCTGAAAAATACTTAGAAAAATTTCAATGCAGTTACACTTTTTTTCTCTAACCTCTGTTTTAGCCGTTAACACCCAGGAGGCTAAACAAGGAATTGGTGACATGGGAGGTATAATTCTGACGTTTCCCTTTTCCCCCACATGTAGCTGGTTTGTAAAACATAGATTTAAATATAAAATAGCTTGGAGCACAGATTCTGAAGTTCTGAAATGCTGAAGGAGTAGAGATTGCTCAGAAAAATGTATTGGCTCTAAAATCTTTTGAAGTATATTTGAATAGTTCTTAAGTCATTAAATAACTCGACCAAAAATATCCTGTGCTAGTTACAACGTTCGCAAAAAACTCAGGGAAAAAAGCCTGCAAAAATGCTTTAGTATCACCTCAGGGATTGAAAAGAAAATTATTTTCCCATACACTAACACTGTTAATTCTTTTGAATGTAGAGGCATTTGAATAATTATTAGCAGAATTGTAGGAAACGTTCATAATTGTCATTTATTATATATTACATAGGTTATAGAATATTTACAATTTACTCATTCAGTGACAGGAAAGTTCCTATGTGGAATTGTGCAAGGTACAAAATGTAAGGAAACTAAAATGGTGAGATTAAATTCTCACATTAGAATACATCTCTTCAAAGAAAATGTCTATTGCTGCTTTCACCATACCGTATTTATGGGAGCTGTGTTTTCTCCTCCTATCCTGCAACATAGGTACAGATCATAGAACATCCAGGTTGGAAAAGACCCTTAAGATCATTAAGTCCAACCATAGGTTGAGTCCAACTGTCATGTAGCACCTCATTATTTAATAGCAAGTAAAAGGATTACAAAACTCTAATTGAGGAAATACTTCACAAGGGAAATATGTAAGCTGTTGTGTGTTATACTTAACATGTTGCCGTTATAACATTGTATTATCTTGACCAGAGTCAACTAAGTTTAAGGTGCATTTCTGTTTCACTTCCTTCAATGGTATTGTACCTCAGAGATTAGTGATTGATACAGCTCTTTTAAAAGTTAGGTAGAGAAATAAACTGAATCTTTTTTGAAAAAGTAAGGAAGTCAGTAACTAAATGAATAATGTCTGAGCTTTCAGTTTCTACACAAACTACACTGCTGCTGAAATCATGGGAATCTGCTCAAGTGGGAGCAAGCCCAGTATTTCTCACTTTTATTTCCCCTCACAGTCTGTCCAAGGAAGCATCAAAATTCTTAGAGCTAAATGTATGAAATCAAAACTGCAGCTGCCTGCCTCCTCTCATCTTCGTGAAGAAGGATGCTCTATGTTTCATAGAAATTAGTCCCAGTATTTCAATTGTCTTTATACGACAGTATTCTGATGTGCAACTTGTTAAAACAGGCACATGGAATCTTTTACAGATGAGCTCTGTTGTAATTATCTTGTTACTGTTTCAGATTCTCTCTCATGTGGTAAGTAATTTATACCGGACACTAGAAAACCTTCAATAGATATTCACTTCCTTTTTATTTAAGGAAGAGTCTAGGCTATGTATTTAGCACTTCTCTACAGAACATTTGCACTTAAATCTTACAACCAGAAGATCATTTAGATTGGAAGGGATCTCCCGAGGTCATCTAGGCCAATGTCCTGCTCAAATTTGTATATAGATACAACTTCATTATGGGAGAACAAGAGTTTTAATTGTTCCTTAATGAATATTACACTTTCATTAATAGTTTACAAGAACAAAAATAACATTTAATCAAAAGTTTCTTTGCAAGGTAATTTTTACAGGTCAGCCTTGGCAGATCAAATAATCTCTAACTTACAGAGACTGATCACTGACAGGTAATGGAATAGTTTGTATTCTAATGTCATTGTTATCGATCTGTACTGATACTTTGCAGTTTAGATATGCTATAGGTCTTGGATAGATGCTATGTGGGTTGGATATATAAGCACAAATGGATGAACTTCCATAAACGTAGGGGAATAAATCTTTGTCTTCATCCTTTAAAGCTCAATAAATGTTTCTCTCATGTTTAAACCTTAAACTGATGTTTGATAACAACTCTCTTATTTTACATCATCAGGATAATGAACTTGATAATTTTCTCAATTTTGGCAACTGCTTCTCTGTTCTGGGTGGTGGTCTCTCTAATAAGAGTGCGAGTTCCAGAGGGTCGACCTTAAATGAACAATATCTAACCACAGTCCACTCGTCGGTGCCTCTTAAGAGCAGCAGTATTTCTAACTGATAGAACAAGGCTTTGGAGAGAACAGATCTGTGTTTTATTCTAAACATTACTGTTGTGACTCTCCGTATCAGATCTTTGTGTGAACTCTGGTATTCATTTCCTTTATGCGTCATTTTCCCAGCAATAAAATAAGAATATTAAGACGTAACCACATTTAGTGAGTATTTTGAGATTCTTTGTTGAGAGGTGCTCTATAGTAAGTATAGTTGGTTGAAGTTGTTAGCATGTATGAATGAGTGAGGAACAGAATTTGTAAGGCACCTGAGAGTCCAAAGGTGGGAGACAAGCATTTTGGAGGGTTTATAGAAATAGTTCAACACATTAGGAACCTGCTTGGTTGTGGAACCACAGAAATCAGTAGGAGTTTATAACAATTCTGCATAAACACTTCTGAAAATTTGCATCTTTAAAAAATCTAAATACTTTTGAAAATACTTTTTTTTTTTTTCATGAACTCAGCCATTCAAAACAGATTAGCCAGAAGATGCTATTATAAAATCACTTGGGGAAAGATGCAGCTCCACGGGTCTATATATCTTAATTCTTTTGTTTCCCCAGCGAAAAATGCGTACTGGCTTACAGCTGTGACCCAGCTGAGAAGTGAGGTTGACTCCACTAGGTCCTGTCAGGTTACCTTTAAACTGAGAGCTCAGAAACATTTAAAGATTTGCAACACTGATTTAAGAATTTACATTTTTCCAATGCAGAGTAAAGACAACCACTTCTCACTCCAGCTTTGCTTAGATATCATGTTTTATTGCTCAGAAAGCTTGTTCATTCTGTATCTTTTGGAAAAGAAGTCTGATCCTCCATCATCAGAAAGCTGTTGATTCACCTGAAGTCTGCAAAAGATGGCATTCTTTGCAGGTTGGAGTCTCAGATTGTTAGAGTCAGATCTAGGCCTTGGAACCTGTTTGTGTATCTAATGATGATCGTGTGGCTTGATTCAGGGAATTCAACAAGAATGTTCACATGCAGAAAACAAGGCATAAACTTTGCTTACTGAACTTAAGAAGACTTTTACTGATATCAATGGTTTTACATTAATTCTTACATGATTAAATGGATTGGTAGAAATGTAATATGAGATTAATGTTTCAAATACTGATATAGCATCCAGAAGCAATATGATTTCCTTGGGGAAAATTCCTGAAAATGTGTGTGGTTTGCCTCCATTTCAGAAAAAGCGGGTAGGATGTGCAGATCACCTGCATGCTAGGAATGAACCTAAAGGCAAACAACGGATGAAAAAAACATGTGCTGCATGGCTGTCAGATAGCATCTTCTCATTGACCGTAAAATAAATTCCTAGATAATAAAACGTAGCTGGAGAGAGGCTCCTCTGGAGCTTATTCAAAAGGAGAACTGGATTTCTCTACTTACTCTCCTGATGTCCATGAGTTACAAATAGCAGAAAACTATTTATAAACTGCTATAAGACGACAATTCTTTATGTAATTTCACATCCCATTGTATCAGCTCATTACAGATTTCATTTCACATACTTTTTTCTACCTGCTAACACAAAATAAATATGTGCATCATGACATCAGCATGTGTGCATTTGCAAAAGCAAGTACCAGTAATCTAAATGTAAATACATTTTTCAAGGATCCCTGCTGTGAATCCTAGAGGAGGAATGAATAAATAGAAATATTCTTCAATTTTCCAAAACAACTAAATTTTTTTGAAGTTTCATTTGGTTTTAAACAAAACATTGTAGCAATGAATTTGCTTGAAGTTAGGTGTTCAGACTTTCAAGGCTTTAAAAACTGCAGCTTTTGTGAAGAAAATAGTATGCTAAGGCTGTAGATTAGTCATTAGGGCACAGTCCATTCTTTTTCCAAAGCAATTATGTATCCTCTAAGCTGACGTGAAAGAGCCGTAGGGCATTGAACTAGAACCCGTTGATAAATTGTACTGAACAACTAGAATGTCACTTGGTACAGGGCCAGCACTGAAATAGTTTTACAGAAAAGCCTAGCACAAGGTGTGCTCTGTGAGTGTGAGCGAACATAAAAGATGTGGTCCAGGGATGCAGCCATAGCTGCTAAGAGCAATCAAAGCAGATGTCTTTAGCCCCTCTATCCCTGTCTTGCTGCCGCATTCTTCATCAGATTCACTTCTTTTAAGTAAAAGGAAACTAATTCCAAAATAAGCAATTTGAGTGATGTTTGCCTTGTGTACTCTTCATATTATATTAGCAATGGCTTCATGTTTAACCAAACTGTAAATGGTTTAAAATATGACTGCGTGGTCTCTTCAATTTAATTGGTTGTGTTTTTCTGTCTTAGGGCTTACTTTCTTTTTTTATTATCAGATGGTTTTCCCTTCTGATTAATTTTAAATAATCATTTTGAAAGAATTAAACATGCTGGTTTTGTTTTATTTAATTTTTTTTATATGTCTTTCCCAGCTGTAGGTATCCAGATGAAACTTGAATTTTTCCAGCGGAAATTTTGGACTGCAAGCAGACAGGTATATTTTAAATTTAACTTTGTTGTTGAATTCACAACAGCTTTCTAACTGTGCAGATGATGGTCTGCAATTATTTTGTCACAAGCAAAACTATTGTAAAGACACAATGTATTTGAAATATATAATGGCTAGCTCTTCTGATTTACATTCCAGTTCATCATTACAAAAAAGAGAATTCAGTGGTCAAAAACTGTGTCTCAATGCCATATTTATGGAAGCAAGTAGAAAGATTATTAATTTTAGGCTCCTAGACGTAATGACTTACTTTGTTGGTCTGACACGTGTTGATTTTCTCACTCAGAAAAAGTGGAAACAGTAAACCTAACTGTGATATTTCTTCGTTTTCAGTGATAGCAGGATGATGCCTTCTCACTTACTTAGAACCTATCCTCTAACATCCAGTACCTGAAGTATCACATAGATTAATTAACTAAACTAAATTACCGAATATGGTTGTCATTCACAGCCTTTAATAAACTGTACCTAAAATGTTCATGATACAGAATTTGTACTCACTGAAGAGGACGATCATGTGCTTTCTAAAGATTAGGAGATGCCATCCCTATTTTGAGAATAGATTGGAACTGTACTGTTTCAGAAAAATACCCCTAACATGGAGGTCCTACCCCACCCCTTTTGGAAAATCATGTATTCTCGCCTACAAATGGTTTCCAGGCTTCTAACACATGGAGGAGATTATGGTGTTTAAAACAGTTGAAGTTACAGTGTGAATGCATCCTTTCTCTGCAGACAGGAACAGAACAGGATTGGTGAACTGATTTAAAACTTTCCTAGTCATTTTTAGAACAATTGCTGCCAGAGGAAAATGTAATCAATATGAACTTCTTTATAATTGTGCTGATATGGATGTTTAAAATGTCATATTTTGTAATAAATGAGAAATGAAATATTTTATTGATTTTTGATATCATCTCTAGTGTGCATCTCTCGATGGCAGATGTGCTATAAGTTGTGATGATGAAGTAAGTATTTAACAGATTTTTTTTCCATTTATACCTCTGCTGCAGTAGAACATAAAGTTGATGAATTTAGTTTGAATATCTCATCGTACATTATAATCTCCTAGTGTAATTCAGAATCACTTTCTAAATATTATACTGTTTAGATAGTGAGACTTTTTTGATGACTGCTTACAAACATCCATTTAATTACAAGGTAGATACCGATATCTCAAATATGTGTTGTAATAACTTGTGCTTTGTGAATCCAGTTGTAGAAATAATTTGAAGCTGTTCTAAGGCATTTTTTTACTACTTTATTGTTCATCTGAGAAGCTAATCTCTGATGTTCATACTAGAATTAGATATGAATTCAGAGTTCAATCTATGCAGAAGATTGAACCTAAGGTTCGTTTGGCCTAACGAACTCACTGAAGTAGCTTTTTATGTAGTTTAATTTGTTAGATAAAACCAGTATTTTTAATATCTTATGCATAGATTTTTGCAAAGCATTTGACATCACACCATAGGATGTTTTGGTTAAGCAACCAATATATCACAGGTTAAATGAATTAAAAAGTGGTTAATAAAGCACAGACTGTATTGACATATGGGGAGAAAATAGGTATACATGATTCTAGAAAATAAGAGTTGGGTTTGAGATGATATATCAGGTATAGTTAGTGATTTGGAAGAAAACAAAGCAATTACTGATAACATCCGTGTGTTATCTCTAAACTGAGTGAATGGTGTGAGGAGATCTGGATCACCTGAAAAACTGTGCTTGAACAAGCTATATGAATTTAAATATGATCAAATGTAAATTCATGCATCTGGAAATAAAAACTACAGGCTATATTTGTGTGATATTTTTCATACAGTGGCCAAAAGACCTATTGCAAAACATACATAAAAGGCAAGAGCCTGTCTGACTCTATAATTCCTGCTAATGTAATGCTTTTGCAATCTTTTTTTTAAGTGGGATGACTTTTATTTATACAGTCATACAGTTTTTATACCGTTTTATTCAGGTTTTTTTATATATCCTTAGTTGCTTTCAGGAAAGCCGCTATCTGTATGGCCAGGACTCAGCAGTCAGCACAGCATCAGTTTTTACACCCTTTTCAACAAATGGTACTCACAGCAAACCATGAAAAACTGGGCAGCTATCCCCAGCATTGCAGACTCTGGTGTTTAAACAATGCCTTCTCATCTCTTTTCTCGGAAGCCATTTCTTCTGAATATCTTCAAGTTCTCACAAGTTTGTGTCTCTACTTTTTACAATAGGAACCCACATGTATTATTTGTGGTATTCCATTAGACTTTATTTTCTCTTTCTCTGCTATTTCTTCTTATCTTTCTTATAGTCTCGCCTTACAGGTCTCTTTCTGACTGTCCCAGCATTTGAAAGAGACTTCCAGTTCTTATCACAGAGGTGCTGCTTGCTCTGTGTTAACGTGTTTCCAATGAAATCTCCACATCTTCCGCCACCTGAACCACTGCCCTGACTGTATTCCTGCCTATACAATAGTTAATTCATTTGGAGTGTGCTCCGTGTTGTGTAGCACTAAGTTTGTTCAGGCTGTTCAGGACATAAAAAAATTAACAAGAATGGTTACATAAAGTACTGTGTGGTGGTTTCTGTAGTAAAAGTTATCAGACTTGGGCTTTCCTGAGGACAGGTAATTCAAAACCTTAAATAACCATGGTAAAAAAGAGTTAACGAATGTGTTTGACGAGTGCTTTCTAACATGTGCCATGATTATATTAGATATTTAGTTGCTTAAGGCAAAAAATGTTATTTTTTATCACTTTTGCGTAAATTAATTTATAAAAAGTTTAAAAAGTACATCATCAATCCTAGCAATCTCACTTCTAGGACGCTACTTCACAACCTCATATACTGTGACATTGAAAAGTGTTTTATTGAAAAGTGAGTCCAGGACATAGGTGCAGTGATAAAATTTTTTAAAATACGTGTCTGCTTAATATGAGATTCAGGTCACAAAAACCATTCCAGGGAGAAAGGCAGAACTTAAAACATCAGCAGTTATGAGAGTAGAACACTAACTTCTTCAGCATACTAAATCAGCAAAACTTACAGCAAACTATAATTCATCTACTAGAACCTTGGAATCTAACATTTGGAGGGTAGAGATAGCAATAAATAATAGAAAATAAAATTTGCAGTAAGCCAAAACACAACGGCCTGATTATCGTGCCATCTTTGGCAACAAAATGGACCATATGAGTCAACATATCTTTTGCATTTCTAGCTATAACAACTTACAGACTCTTCCATTTAAAGCTTGTATCATTTCAAACATTAAGTAAACTTTTCCAAATATGAAGTCAACTTTTCCAAATATGAAGTCATGAGAAACAAATCAGATTCCACCCAGGTGTGGTGAAGGTGCTTACTTGGCCCAAATTCCAGGCTGTTATTTGCATATTGACCGATTTTAAGGTGAGCTTATAATGTTTATTACCCCATTCTCCTAAGAGTGATCTGACATCTACTGAGAATGAAGGTCTGTAGAACTGTTAATTACCTAAGTTTTGTGACCTTGCTTTACTGTAGCTTCCTATAGACTTAATGTGCAAGCTTTACCTTGAATTGTTTCCACCAGCTTTGAATAGTTTCATCAATGGGTTTCCAGTCATAGCCAACCAGCTTGAGCAGTATAACTGCAGGTACTCAGGGTAGAGTGTCCTCCTTGTTTAGCCTAAACCATCACGCTTTTGGGATTAAAAACTGTGCAGAGATTACTTCATTTGTGATAGCCTTTGTGATAGAATAGTAATACATAATTTCTTGCATAAAACACACTCCTGCTGCAAAGTGTCCAGCTACTTCATCAAAATGACCATGTTATCATTCATTACTGCAAAGATGTTTTTGATCTGTCATGCTAAGAAGCAGGTACGCACTGAGAAAGATTCCAAGAGTGCACAGCCAGAAACATCTACTCTTTTCTTTTTTATTGCTTTGGCAGTTAATAAGAATAGTCATATACTTTGCTAAGTATTCATGCAGAATTTCTTTTTGCTATTACATTCATATCCAAAGAGAACACAAGCAGTTTAAAGTCTTTTCAGCTACTTTCACTTGACACCAGCAGGAGCCATGTAAGCATATGGAGAAATTCAGTAATAGTGTGAACCTTGGTGAGTTAGAGATTCCAAACTTTTTTTAATGACAAAATATACTGTTAATAGGACTCAATCAAATATCACAGCTCCTCTGTTGAGCCTCTTAACTGTCACAGCTGTCTTTTCTCAACGGCAAGAAAATGTCTGCTGAACAGTTATGGTATAAATTAAAGCATTTAAAAGTATTAAGACATTAATGCAAATAGAGTGGCACAATAGTCATACAGAAAATTAGTTGATGAGTTTGTATGATACTTTTGATTCTAAAATACAGACATCCAATT